TGCTGAACCATGGATGTTGCCAGACCAGTGTGTCCTAGATGAGTGAGGTTCAATCTATATTTAACCCTGGGGATAAGCCCCAGGTCAAGCTCAACCAGTTCAGTAAATGAAGAATAAAGGTGTTACCCTGCATCTATAGCAGGCGAAAGTCATGACTATGTTTCCTAATTAGAGAAACCTCCAAAGACCAAACATCTGATCTCTTCTAGCTTGTAACTCCAAAGAAAATCGCTGCTCTCATCTGGCATTCTGGCTAGTGCTGCCAATGCTACAGAAAAGTCTGAACAATCTGACAGTGCAGGCACTGAAAATATTAACTGTGACGACGGAAAGTAGGAACGTGGATAGTATGACTAGGGATTTTTGGCTGCTGTTAAAACAACAGTTGTTCAGTTGCTGGAGCAACGTATGAAGTCACTAAAAATAAGTTCCAAGAAGTACACGCTATATAGCAAATGGCAATAGCACCGAGACAGGCTGGCTCTGAAAACAAGCGATACGTGAAAATAAAGAGAAAACCCCAGCAAAACTGGACTGTGACTCAGTGTTTCTACGGGCTCTGGCTCAGGATACATTTCCACTGACTTCAATGCAATGCAGATATTAAAATCACTTTCACATTTTTAAGAGGGTAAATTAATAAGGAACAGCATAGCCTAGTGGATACAGCAAGAGCCTGAAAATTAGCAACTCTGGTTTCTATTCCTGGCTTTCCCAGTGATTTGCTTTTTAATCTTGAACAAGTAACTTCTCTCAATGAGTCAGTTTCCTCTCCTTACCCTTTGTCTGTCTTATCGATTTAGACAGTAAGCTCTTTGGGAGAGGGACCTTCTCTTACTGCATGTTTATATAGTTCCTAGACTCGAATCCCAATTTCAGCTGGGGCCTCTCTGCACCACTGCAATACAAACAACAATGAAAAATGCTCCTTCAAGAAATCCTTCCTTATAAAGTAATTGTACAGATACATACTTAAACTCACACCCTGAATGCAGAGACCCACTCCACTGCCATAACTGTCTGAACATGAAATTGCCAAGAGAGTCAGGAAATTAATACTGACTCTTTAACTCAACCCCCCGATTATTACTATCATTGTTTAACACGTGCCTTGACATCTAGCGCACTGAGAAGCAACCTATGCTAGTGAGTGGGCTGCATGCTGTTCTTCCTGTCAAGTACTAGGTGTAACGGCATTGCACAAGAGGGTTTTTCTTCCGCAAGAAGGGGCGGTGTAGACGCTCCTTCTTGCGCAAGAGCCTCTTCTGAAAAAAATGGAGGCTCATTAGGTATGCAAATGAGGCTCGGCAATATTCCACGCTTAGCCTCATTTGCATATTACTCGCGCAAGAAGCCGCGAGTGTAGACATAGCCTCAGTGAATAAGGGAGCTGGCAGGAACAACACGTTTGGTGGTAACAGAAAACACTAGACATGCCAGTGCTGAGGAAAGATGGCAGCTAGCAGAAGAAACCCAAAAATAACTGCCAGCAAAAGGCTTGTATATTATTTAGTTGTCCTTCCATTTGCCCTGTGTGACATTATTGGATTTTTGGATGAACATAGAAAACATTGTTGCAACCACTGTTACATGTTTGCACCAAATCTTATACAAAGTGGGCCAAGTGAGTTGTCAACAGAAAGCTTATGCTTTGCTGATTCTATGCATATGCATGTATCATTTTTGTATTTGAAGCTATGAGTATTGGCTATGTACTTGTATTTCAAATGTTTGCTTCTGGGAAGTATCAACGGGCTTGGCCAACCTATTGTGAAAAGTTTGCCAGCCCAGAGAACAGCAGTACTTCACTAACACTACACCTTAAGTGATGCCAATCCACATCTGAGGAGCTTTGCTGTGAAGGGTCAAACCAGCATGTAAGCCATGGCTGTTACCTAAAGAAGGACCGAGCCATTCATGGACAGATGATTGCTCATGTGACAAACTCCGTCTTGGGCACACTTTCACACAGCAAGAACAATGGAATTCCCGCCACATGGGAAAGGGTATAAAGAAGGCCCTGGGAACTCCTCTATTTGGTCTTCATCCCAGCTCATGACTTCTGAAACATCTTGGCTATGAACTGAGCGCGAAAGGATTGATGACCCATCCTAAAAAAGGATGTATTCCAGAGACTTATAAAGCAGCAGATTAATCCATCCCTGCCACAAGAACTTCATAACGGGTATATATATAATTTAATTCCTTTAACAATATTACTCTCAACCTATTTTTCTTTCTTTTTATTAATAATCCTTTAGATTCTAAAGGATTGGCACAGCATGTTCTTTTGGGTAAGATCTGAAGAATAAATTGACTTGGGAATGTGTCTGGTCCTTTGGGATCAAGAAACCTGTTTGGATTTGGTGAGATTCGTTTTCATAACCGCTCATCTGTGTAAGGAGTGGTAGTGATAGTGGCAGAGGAAGGGTGGAATGTCTAAGGGGACAGTATGACTTCTTGCTAAACAGTGTGGTAAACAGAAGTGCTCTTTGACACTGCTGTGCTGTACCTTGTAATAAAGAACCCCCAGTCTTGGGCTGTAAGTAACCCTGTCCTTAAGCAATTTGTCCTGATTTAACCCTCTCAGCAGTACCCCCAGAAACTCCCTGCAAGTGGAGAATTTCTCCTTTGGCTGAAGGTCCAGAGCACATAAGTCGCCAACTAGAAGGAGACTATGAAGTGAAACAGACATGGTGCACCAACTGAGGATCCAGGCAAGATGAGGCTACAATGCCTTACAGGCCAATTCAAGATTGTTCCCTACGGCAAATCTTCCCGTATTTTGTTCAATCTAGTTTTAAATGTCTTAAGTGATGGGTCTTCCACAATTTCTTCTTGGAGACTATTACACAATCTAATCTAGTGTGGGGTTTTTTTAGCATCTCGGCGCCACCAAACCACATTGTGGAACAACAGGAAAATATTTATTTCAACCTTTACAAATAAAGCACAAGAATGGAAACGGCCAAGCATAGAACTTTATATTGCTATGCAAGAGAAGTTCCATTTCCAGCACCGATCCCATTCATCAGAGCAGGAAGGGTTGGCAGCACTGGGAAGGAAGCATGCTTGGTCCTGGGGGAAGGGAGTTCCTTGCAGCATTACCATTTTCACCAGCCAATTCAGGAGTGGCAATGACTAGCTCCAGTGGAAACACTCCTTCACCCTTACTTAGTGACGCTAGCTTGAGGAGTTGTCAAACAAAGCAAACAACACACACAGGGTGGGAGATAGAGACATTCTAGTGTGGGACAAAGAAGAGGGAAATAAAACAAACACTATGTACTTTGTCCATCATATTAAGAGGACACTGTTTCACAGCAATCACTGAAACTTCACAACAGAAGCCTCAGAATTACGAGCATAGCTCCTTATAGCCTTTGGACCTTGATGTGCCTAATAAAGGACAGGAGTAGATTTCCTCTGTGAGAATAAGAAGCGGATACTAGGCATCCTGGTACAAAGGGTACTACAGGAACTGGTTTAATAGACACAGAAGACCAGGAATCCAGAGCAGCTTTAATTCAACAGCTGGTTCAATGGAACCAAAATGATGTCTTCCTTCCTCAATGAAGTGAAGCAATATCATCTACTAGGGCAGGGGATTAAATCCCCAGTAAAGGGTGGTAGTTTTGTTTGGATGAAACATGGAGTAGCCAAAATAGTAATTTTTCCCCTCCTAAGACATTAAAGGAATTTTCTTCACAGGGGCAGGACGGAACTGCTTTTTGATCAGCTGGACAACCCCTATCTCTGACCTCAACCAAAGTTTCTTTCAACAGGAAGCTGTGAATGTATCTGCTGAAGTCTGTCCTGGCGAGACAGAGATAACAACGGACAGAGGCACAGAGAATCACAAGCTAATAAAGAACATTTCATGAGTCTCTACAGGCTTAAGACAGTAACTTCAGTGGACAACAAACATACATTCCAGGCTAGGGATGTGAAAGGTGAACTCGTTAGCATCACTCATAATGGGTGATGCTTACCAGTTCCAGTTAACCAGTGGGGGCTGGAGCTCCCCACCCACCGCAGGCGGGGCCTGCTCCAGCCCCAAGGGGCTTGCCATGAACTGGGGCGCTCTGGCCATCCAGAGCAGCCCCCTTCCTCTTAACCGATTAAAAGGGGGGTTGGGTAACTGATTAAACATCACATTTAACCGGTTAACTAATTAAAACAGGATTTTACATCCCAACTCAAGACAATGCCAAGTTGTCTCCTGCTCGTTAAGGCAGACTGCTCTAGAGATAATCGGGATATGACTGCTGGAGAGGCTCCCAGATTTAGTAGGCTCACAGCTGACTTTTACAGAGCTGCAACTTACTGTCTGCTCATTTACTAAGCATATGTCAAAGCACCAAGCCATCTGGGCAGCATCATGTACAGCACTGTGTAAACATCAATAGTCACAGCACCAAAGCCCTTTTTACCGAGATCAAGGCATTATTGCTCCATTTATTAGATGCATAAACTGAGGCAAAAAGATTAGATCATGAGCCTAAGGCAACAAAATGAAGCAGGTGTCAGAATTGGGATTAGAATTTAGGAATTCTATGTGTTTTTAGTAATAGTGACTTCTGTGCTCTTTCCACTTAATAACAGTCTCTGAATTAACAAACATGGATGGATCACTTCACCCACTACTTTCTGGACAAACTCAGCTGCTTATTTGCTCACAGTAACATTGCAAAATATTTAAGGACATCAGTAGCAGTACTTACCATCAAGCAGCTTTGTAAGCATGTATCCTACTATGCTCTGTGTGTGTCAAATGTTAATACAGAATATAAACAAATCTATGGATTCTTAAGGATAAGATAGCAGCCACACACGTATTAAACAAGGTTATTTGGTTCACTGCATTAGAATTGTTGTCTCGTGACTTTAAAAATCAATACAAATTGTAAACAACTAGTTTCATCTGCCAACTTTATTGAAAATAAAGTGTTAATAGTGGAAAAATTTGGAACCTTCACCATAAAAATTGCATTTGTCTTCTATTCATCAACTTTTTTCCCCCTTCTGAACCAGTATGTGCCATGCATCAATTAATTTATGACTTTAAAATGTCAGAACTATTCTGGCTTTTCAAGTGCTCAACAGACTAGAAATATTCACAAGTAAAGAGGATTTATTAGCAGAATGGTTCTTTACATCTCATACTTGGCCCGAGCATGTGGTTCCTTAGCAAAGCTCAGGATCTGAAAAGTAAGGTTTAGAACAGTGAAACTCAGACCTCGGTAGTTCAGGAACCTTATAGGTGATCAACATCATTCAAAGAGCTACAGCAGCATGAATTCATTGTTTCATTTACTACATATATTGTTCTTCCAACAAAAGGACTGACCAAGTGTTCTACAATTCATTAAAACAACACAGTAAAAGTATCCTGACTGGTTGTTAATTAAATCACACCGTGTTTTAATATTATGTGCGACAAAAAGCTGCAAGAAACACATTAAAAGAACTACTAGCAACTCCCACATCTCAGTCAGAGTATCATGGATTTAAAATAATGGAATTTTATTTTAATTTCTTTATTGCTTTTCCTTCTTTGGCAGAAACAGAACTTGTAATTGAAACAATGCCTTTGAGCCAAGAATATCACTACTTAACTCAGTGTAGCAGAAAAACAAAAAAGATACAGTAAGCAGCACACTCAAGTCCAGTAACAAACTGAACACTGAATGCTGGCACTATTACTTGACTGTTGGAAGATCCACCCTGTCTTATGACTTATCAATTACAACCTGAGAGATGTTGAGCCTTCATCTAGTACTTGTATCTATTCAAACACACTAAAAACAATTAACAGTTAGCTTGGCTTTTAGCATCATAGTAATCAAGCAGGCTGCTTTTGCACCAAGAACTTTACTGCAAAAGTAGCAGCAAATGTTTTGAATTCCAGGATTCAAAGGATTACTTGGCTTCAGTAACATCCTGTTCCATAGATTATAGACATAATTACTATTAGTTAAATGGCTATGGTGAAATGCTATGTCTAAAGGTTCTAATTTCCCTTTTTATGTAGATAATACCTATTCACACTGTTAATGAACAATAGTTATAATTCACTTTACATGATCTTCTGTCTGAAGATATTAACAGACTTTACAATATTATGCTTTAATACTTCCGCCACATGGATATTACTTCTCCTTTTCAGATGGGAGAACCCAGGCATAGAGAGGTTAAGTGACCTGACCCAGGTCACACAGCTAGCTAATAGCAAGCTGAAAACTGAACCCAGAAATCCAGACCCCCCACTCTAATGGGAATTATAGATGTGCTAAGGAAAGGAAACCTGAGGAGTTTAACAACAAGTGTCATCCTTTTAAAAAGTAGATGCCAAATTACACCCTAAAAGATGGAAAATGTAGTTCACGTCTGATTTATAATAAGTTACCTAAGACATCTCCTGAGGCTACTACCCATTACAGTTATAATCCTTACCTGTAAGTTGCAACTTCAAGGCTGAGTCCCGCTTTCACCTGCATTAGTTCATTGTAGTCCTTTAGGTAATCCATGATTGACAGAGTCAGGAACTGTTTTTCTTCTTCTAGGGCGTCAATTATCCTCTGAAGAGAAACACTTCCAATTAGTTTTGAACAATTTGATTTTACTTTTTCACATTTGCGCTTATGGAAACTTACCAGTTTTACTGCAAACACCAAGATAAAAACCTTTACAAGTATTAAAGCAACATGCACTAGTATCTCAGTTTTAAGGGGAACAAAGAGGAAATACAGAAATATATATATAACCTACACTTGGACTTCCGTGGCGTATAATTCATGAGATACTATTACCAGGATAAATTATTCATGCTAGGATGCATGTGTTACATCTGGCTAAATTAAATTGTCTTTAAATAACAAACAAAATCCCATCCTATTGCCCCATTTTGCTCCCTGCACACGTACACACACAAAGGTTACCCTTTATGCAGGGAAGCAAAAAGCACCCTCTTATAATTGTCGTATGTAGAACATTAAAAGCCAGATTCAACATTGAAAACACACACACACACACACACACACACACACACACTCCTATTTAAACACATTTGAAATGCTCAAATATGATGGTGAACAATGCAGCACGATAACCTGAATAGAATATGACTTGGTCACAACTGTCTGCGAACCATTTTGGAGACCACAGACATATGGACCCAAGTTATGAGATTTGAAATTCCAGAGTCTGGGGATGTTTGGACCTATGGGTGATGTTTCAAGCAGGGTTCTATCCTCCTACGCCTTCATTAGGAAATAGGCCAGTGACCACCACTCGTTTTCATCTTGAGGAGCTGAAGAGAGCAGCATTCTGAATGCTCACCGAGCACGAGCACTGGTTGTGGAGTTGAGGCAGCTAGACTAAGGAGTTCCATCTCCCCATCGAGGGGCTCCAGAAAGAGGATCTGCACCCTAGGAGTGTACTTGAGATAGGGCATGCCCAGACTTTGTGGGCTCTGAAGCTTGTGCAATTCCAATACAGCATTGGAGCAACCTTGCACAAAAGTGGACTGTAGCAATTGCAAAAGCATTCATTCCACCAGGAGCAGTCAGCATGCAAACAGGAAAGCAGACAAAAATCTCTGATAGTCGTCCCCCCCCCATTTACCAAGAACTGAAAGAATTAAGAGAGTAACTTTTGTGAAGTCTTTCCCTGACACCCCAGAGCAGGGTGCATAAACCTTTTCGGCCAGATTCAGGAGGCCGGGAACACACATGGGACTTTTGAGGATAAAAAGGCAAACCTTGAAAACCATGGTACAGATGGGATGGCAAGAAAACTAGAATTTAAGGGGGTAAAATCCCATTTAATTAGTTAACCGGTTAAATGTTAAGTGTAACTGGCTAACTGATTCAATGGGGATGGGCGGGGGCCACTCCAGCTCCCTGCCACTGGCAAGGGCTGCTCCTGCCCAGCTACTTCCAGCCCTTTCCGGGGCTGCCGGTTCCCAGCCCCTTTCAGGGTTGCTGGCCCATGTGGGAGCCGGACGGTGCTACAGCAATCTTCCATGGGGGCTCTCCAGGTACGGGTTAACTGTTACCCAGTATGGGTCTAGTTACCCATGAACATCCCTACTAGGGTTATCACACGTCTGGGTTCTCCGAAACATTGCTTCCTTTTTGAGGGTCCATCCAGGAAGACTTTTCCAATAGCAGGCTGTGTCCAGGATTCTTGCAGAGCAGACGTTACACTTCAGAAAGAGCCCTGACTGGTCCGCTTCCAGACTGGTCCCTCCCCTGCAACCACCGATGACGGGCCCATTCCCCTGGATCCCACCTACCAGATCCCACCCCAGCAGGTGCTGACAGGTGGCTGTCACTGCCTCCTGGGCTTGGGACTGCCACCCTGCCGCTGTGACTGGGAAAGACTCTCCTCCCCACCTCCCCTGAGTTCCCCCCCAGCAGGGTCTCCCTCAGCCCCGCCCCCGAACTGCAGCACTGTCCTTTTTTTGGAAACCTGAACCTTTGTAATCCTATAGGGTGCACACTGCCCCCTCCCAGCTATATAAATGGGGTGTTGAGGTGTAGTCGACTAATCTCGTCAACTATACGCATCCCCCTCTTGCTGCCTCTTTATCAGAGGAAGCAGCGGCGGGAGCTGGGGGACGGAGGGGGGTGAAGCAGAAGCAGTGCTGGAAGGAGACAGCTTAAAAGCCAGCTTCCCCCAGCACTGGCTCCATGGTACCACCTGCCCCCAGAGGTGGCAAAACAGCCTCTGTCTATGGCAAGTCGGTTGCTGAATCACAGTTGATATGTAAGAGACTATAGGCTCATGCCAAGGTCTAAGTCAGGGAGAACTGCAAGATACCACCCCAGGAGAGGCAGGCTAGAGGCCTAAAGCTGCAGAGAAGATACCATGAGACTAACTCAGAGTGGGGTCGGAGAAACTGCCAGCCATGAACTGTATCAAAAGCAACGAGCCAAGGACACCAGCGCACATTCAGGAGAAAAACAAACCTTCTGTCACTGGAATCCCTTGTTGGAATTACATCCTTCCCCAACAGTGATGATGATTATGCTTATAGCTCCCCGAGACTGCCAAGCATAGGACAGCTAGAACATGTGCATGTTAAACTGAGAGCTAATCCACACTGGCAGTGCTGCAGCCGCACCATTACAGCACATCTGGTCAAGACGGGAGAGAGTTCTCCCATGGGTATAATAAATCCACTTCCATGAAGGGCAGTAGCTCTCCAACTGACTCAGCTCTGTCCACACTGGTGCTAAGGTCACTGTAACCTATGTGGGGATTAGTCACACCCTGGAGCTCTCAGTTTACAGAAGTAAGCTCCCGTGTACACCAAGCCTTAAGGAAGGGTAGTTATTAGGCAATGTAAGGATTGTTTTGGGGCCTTATGCTTTCTTGACCTTTGTACGTGCTGAGCTAAGTGGGTTCACTAATGGTCTCAAAAGTCTTTCTTGGTACCATTGTACAGAAGTAGGGATGTTAAATATAGGTTCATTTTCCATCGACTAGTCAATCAGTCAATAAGCGGGGGAGATGCTGCTGCTGTGCTTCAGCCTTTTAAGCATATTAAAAGCCAGTGGGCTCTTTTGCTTATCGGATAGTCGACTAGTCGCTTACATCCCTTTAAAGAAGCAGCACCCATATCTTGGAAGGTGGATAATCTAAGTTCTGGCACTATACCGACTCCTTTCAGAGGTCTGAGCAAGGGGATTAACTCGGCAAGGTTCACCACTGAGTCATGTAAAGAAATGGAGGGGGGGGGGAATCACAGGAGTCCACTAAAGCAGTGGTTTTCAAACTATGGGTCATAACCCAGTACTAGGTCATGGAATGTCAGGCACTGGTGCAAGGTGATCAGGGGACCAGTGGGGGAAGCTGCCTTAGCACCCACGTCGCAACGCTGGCCGGGAGCTGCTCAAGTAAGGCCACTCCTGCCCCAGCCCTGGTCCCTCCCTCCCCCCCTACAGCTCAACACTCTTATCCTCAGCCCCACCCTGGAGCCCACACTCAAAGAAAATTGTTGATGCCGCAACCCCACAAAATTTGACTAAACTGGGTCATGAGAAAAAAAAGTTTGAAAACCGCTGCCCTAAAGCACTGAAAGGGACTACAGGAAACCCTTGCCATTCACCACTAGGGTGAGGCTGCTGTGGCTCCCCGCCCCCCTGTGCAGGCAGGGAGCTGCGATGAGTTCCCCGCAGCTCCCAGGTCCCACCCAGCCCACAAGAGACCCACCAATACACAGAACTGCAAAGAGCAATTTTACAAATCGCGAGGGTCTCCTATCAATCTCACACTCTTACAGTGGTCCCTTCTAGTCAGGAATGTGAAACGTGAGCAGAGCAGTAGGAGAAAGACTGCTCCCGGGATGCCCGAACTGTCCTGGTTTTGTGAATAAAGGACTTCAGACTCTCCGGCACTCCTGATCTGGCATCTTTTACCAACTCCCAAGCCACTTAGCAGCTTAATAGAAGAAAAAGAAAAAGAAGCAACCCAGCACTTGGCAGGCTGGAAATGGCCACAGGAATTCAGTGTGACAGATTTGTGTTAAATGTTAATTCAACAAGAGGCCGTTTTCCTCTCCTTTGGAGCTCTCAGCATCATGGAACAGATACGGGAGCCAATCCTGAGTCTATTGAAGTCAGTGGCAAATGTCCAGTTGGCTTCAGTGGAGCAAGATGAAAGCCAGGGTCTTTTCTGTGTTCTAAAAATATTAGGCCCTCTCCTGTTTATCCTGCTGTATGTGAATCTGCCATGGAAGTCAGTAGGAGTTTCAGCATAAATACTGTCACAGCATGCTATCAGGGCCTAGATACCTGAGACAGGAGACTCCTACTAGCTATCCATTAGCCCACTCGCACAAATGCAGGATTTCTTCCTACAGGCTCTGTGCTCGTGACTGTCCAGTCCAGTTAAACCAGTGATTCTCACCCAGGGGTCCAGGTTCCCTTGGGTGGGGGGGCATGAGCAGGTTTCAGGGAGTCCAACAAGCACAGCTGGCGTCAGACTCACTAAGGCTCAGGGCAGAAAGCTGAAGCTCACTCCATGCAGGACAGCAGCCCAAGACCCTGAGCTCCAGCACCTAGGGCTGAAGTCAAAGGCTGAGCAATTTAGCTTCATGGTGCCCCTTATAGTGCGGGGCTCTGGGGAACGGCCCTGGTTCCAACTCCTTAAGGTGACCCTGGCTTTTGTATGGAGAAAAACGGGTGCTGTAGTAGAAGTTGGCCAGGGAGTTTTTAATAGCATGTTCGGGGAGGGAGTGGCTAAAGAGAAAAAGGTCAAGAACCTCTAAATTAGACTCTACTGCAGAAAAATTGTATTAGCACTGAAAGCTATGAGGATAGGGAGCACTGGAAATGAGATGGCCATATGGAAAGTGGAGAATATTAATCAGTCCCCTTGCTACAGCAGCTGTCAAGGAAATTCCTACCATCATCACCACATATTTTTGGTCAAAAATATGCATCTAAGTGATACCACTTTTAAATAAACAAACATCTAGCAACTGGTTTTCGGGCCATGACATCCAAAGCCTTCGTAAACATCTTCACTTCTGTAAAAGAAATGGTCAGGAAAAACTGAGCAAGAGCAGAAAACCTAAATCACTTGCTTTCCCCCATCTTGTATTTTCCCACGACAGATAGGAAGGAGAGATCACCTCTTTCCCACAGACTGCCTGGAAAGCCAGTTTGGGTTTGCCTTGGTGGTCACTAGAGAAGCCTTCTCTCGTTGTAAACGGAGCAGTTTTAACATCATTCAGATCGAGTGTGGATCCCACACT